CCAACTTTATTTATTTTTTATATCTTTCTATTTTAACCCTTTTATTTACTGCCTTTTTCTTTTTAATGGCAGAGTATGTTGCGAAATATAACTCGTATGTAATGCTGAGATATTTGCAAAACTCCGGACCGCAGGTGTATGCGGTGGGGAACGAACACGCGCTGTTGTCCTTACCGGGGACCAGCGCACTTCACCACCACACCATCCGGGTCCTTCGTTTTGCCTGTCTCTCAGCTAGTTCTATCGATCTTTTTACCATCAGCATTTCGCAACATACCCTGCCATTAAAAGGAAAAGGGCAGTAAATAAAAGGGTTAAGATTGTGATTATAACTGAGCTTCAGCTTAACTGGGTTCAATGCCGATTTGGGCTCCCCAGATCAATCCCGTTGATGGGTGATTGCTGATGGCAAAAAGATCGATAGAACTAGTTGAGAGACAGGCAAAACGAAGGAACCAGGTGGTGTGTAGTGAAGTGCGCTGCTCCCCGGTAAGGACAACAGCGCGTGTTTGTTCCCCACCGCATACGCCTGCGGTCCGGAGTTTTGCAAATATCTCAGCATTACATACGAGTTATATCTTTCTATTGTTTTTTTTTCCTTTTCATCTTTCATATTGCTTAAGTGCAATTCAGTCTGCAATTAGTTTACTTTGTTTCGCATGCTATGCCTCTTATAACTTCGTATGAAGTCAATCGAACATTGTAAAGAGGTTAAACGTAAATCCAGAGGGAGGAGTGCGAGAAGTAACGGCCAGATATGCGTCGGACTTCTCACGTCCCGATTTTCGTCGCCGGCGAACCGACCCCAAATGGCTTGCTAATACTCTGAAGAAAAACGTAAATTTTTCTAGCAGTTTCTTCAGTGCTGCTTTTTGTTTGGCTTATATAATAGCGCTATAACTTATTACATGTGAAATTACAGTACATTCGAGCGGATCGATATCGATCTGAGCAGGAAGATATGGAACTACGTCTGGAACTCGTGAAAAAACCGTTGCCGAGTACACTGTCGGAGTACAAAAACCATCCATTGTGAGTTTTGTACACCTGCACTGCGGATTCACCCCTTAATCCGGTATTTGAGAGATCGCGACCTTTGGTGATAGTTGTTGCTTCTAATATATCTGTTTATGCTTATTTCGTTGTGCTTTTTAATTCCTACTATCACGAAAAAATGGTAGTGCCCAGGACGTATTCATCCTGAATTATACCGAATTCTATGAAGCTTTTATGATATGAGAATGTTTTCAAGATACTCGGTCGAAAACGGTCTTCTTTCGCTGTACCTACTTTAGTAACCAAAGTTTTTTGCACTGATCATACTTAAAGAGTTTTATTTTTTAATTTAGATGGAAGTTGGCGTCTAAGCAGCAGTAGCTTCCTGTGTATGCTAATCTTTCATACAACCCTTTATCACTTCCGTTTAAGGAAAATGACTAGGGGCTCGCACTCGGCGGACTAATCGTCATTTTGTTCTGTTCGCCATCTTGATTGATTACCATAATTTTTTCCTAATCGTGGTATATTGTCGTGGCTTTTATGTTTTCGTGGTTGTTCACTATTTCACTCGAGAACACCCTCATGTGGATAAGTGTCGGGTTTGCTAAGTGGAACTCATCCTTGGTAATGGTTTCAACGAGAATATTTGCTCGATATCTGTTGTTTCAGCTTGAGTTAACTCCTCGGTTTTTGAAAATTGACTTATTCGTTAGATGGACCGCGGAACGTATTAGTTCGTTTTCTCCCATCTGTGCCGTCTGTCCTGCCAATGATAGTTTTGTAACTCGAGCAGTGGGCAATGAAGTGTCCATTTCCTCTGTACCACGAGTAACGTCGTGAATTTTGTTCGTTTTTGGGTCTAGCTGAGCATGGTTTTCTTCTGATTTTTTGTTTTATTTGATCCATCTTCATGTCTACTGTGCGGATTCCAGCACTTCTGACATTCGATTCGTTTCCTCGCATCCAACATCCACAATGGTCTTCCAACTTCTACGTGTGGCTTCGGTTGGTGCTTGAAGATTTGCATATAATCTTGAATGTCGTAGAATGCTGGTAGAACAATTCTCCCTGGAGTCCTGAGATAACCGGGATAGATAGTGTTCCCAATTGGATAGCAGGGAGTATTTTTTTCCCCAGAAAGGTGCGGTACCAATTTCCCGATTCCGTAGGGAGGAGAGGCTTGATTGGCCTTGGGCGGAATCGAACTAGCACCATGCTCGTGATGACGGATATCACTACCACTGTGCTATCCGCCCCTTTCTAAGATTACCGTGAAAAACTATCACGTCCACGTCGATGGTTTTCCACCTGTGCACTTGATATCCCGTGTGATCTACTCACTGACGGCTGTTGTCTACTAGTTGTCGTTTAGTTACGTCACATGTCCAACACACTTGATTTCCATTCTTGCGTCTCTGATCGTTGATGGTTGACCGAGGTCGGAACTTCGAATTCTTTCTCCCAAGAGATGCGGGATATCCTCAGCATCACTCTCTTGATTGTGCGTTCAACAGCGGTAAGGCGTCCTTCATTCTGCTTAAGCAGCGAACAGACTTCCAACGCGTAGATTGAGGTAGGAAGAGTCGTAGAATTGAGAAAGTCAGCTCATAGTTGGGTGTTTTTTGTCCTCTTCATTACATCCTCGATCCTCTTGAAGGTCTTCCAAACTATGATTTCCTCTTGCTCAACTTTAGAGCTGTATTTCATTATGTTGACGTCGTCATCCAAATAAACATAGCTGGAGCATCGGCAGGTGTTTATTCCGTTAAGCATGAATGGAGCATCAGAAGGAAATCAGCTCTTCATGGACATCATTTCTATGAGATTTACTTGGAGTCCAATCTTTCCACAAGCGTTTTCGAATTCAGCTTATATTCGTTTCATCTGGCCGATACATGGTGCTGTAAAAGTGGTATCACTACCGAAGTGAAGCTCATCTAACACTGATCACTTTTGTTTCGCCTGTCTCTCAGCTATTTCTATCGATCTTTGCCACAGCAATCACCCATCAGCGGGATTGATCTGGGGCGCCCAAATCGGCATAGAACCCAGTTAAGCTGCGGCTGTAGTTGGAATCACAATGTTACACCTTTTTATTTTCTGCCTACTATAATTTCGCGGCAGGGTACTAAGCGAAATACAACCACAATGTTGCTGAGATATTTGCAAAACTCTGAACCGCAGGTGTCTATGGTGGGGAACGAACGCGCTATTGTCCTTCGCGGGGAGTAACGCGTTCACCACCACACCATGCGGGTCCTTTGTTTTGCCTGTCTCTCAGCTATTTCTATCGATCTTTGCCACAGCAATCACCCGTCAGCGGGTTTGATCCGCCGAAACGTCAGCTCATTCGTGAATAAAGAATAATAACACCTCGCGTTTGCTCAACAAAAATACGAAGAATTACTTGATCAGTGCCGAGGTTAATAGAAAGTCGGTCGTGGGAGTTACTGAAAGAGATACATTATTGCGCACATTGTGCAGAAGTCGGTGTTGTTATCAGCTGGCACAAAGCGTAGTAATATTTCGAAACCGACTTTCCCTGAACCTCGGTATCACTAATCAATATGTATTCTTTCTTTGATGAGCTTACACGAGGTTGATAATGATGTTTATTTTCGGCTTTAAAAATATTACTACGCTTTGTGCTAGCTGATAACAACACCGACTTCTGCACGATGTGAGCAATGATGTATGTCCGGAAGAAAAACAAGTTGTTATCACCGGACATTATCATTATATCGACCATCAGCATCGTGTATGAAAGGACATCACTGAGTAAGGATGCCTCATTCGAGGAGATGGCTCACTGAAGAAGACCTAACTCGACACGAAGGCGAAGCTACCACGTCGAGGCGAATAACAAGTGAGGACCATCGACTCGGATCAACGGCTCTGAGGAAGACGAAGACGTCGAAACGTTAGCTGAAAATAAACATCATTATCAACCTCGTGTAAGCTCATCAAAGAAAGAATACATATTGATTAGTGATACCGAGGTTCAGGGAAAGTCGGTTTCGAAATATTACTACTGATCACTTACTTTCACAACAATGTTGTCCCATTCCATTTTCGAATGGCGTTCTAGAAGACGGGTGTTAACTTGTTGGGAGTCTCAATTGAGTCGAGAACGTTCCTTAAGTCGATGGAAGTGTGAATCAGTGGGACGACATATCCGTGTTCCTTCCTTACGTATGGAAGTAAGAGGTCTGTTGAGATCGGAAATGAAACATGGATGATTTTCTCCTCTTCATTCTTTCTTTTTGGAATCCGTAAGTGTACCATCTGGACGTTATAATGTGATCTCTTAGTCTGATAACTGGCGATGTTTCGGTGGGTGTTTCCGATGGCCTTTAGGACCTCTCTTGCCGTTGCTGCTGTACTTCTGCTTTTTCTGCACAGTTTTGCAAGTTGGGACGTTGAATAGAAGATTAGCTACTGCTCGTCCGATTTCATATTGGCATATTACCTCAGATGTTTCTGGAGAGATCTTTCATGGTGATTTTCGAACTCTCGGCTTTAACAGCACTGATGTGAAGATGTTCGACAAGGCGGTCGTGCACGTCGTCGATGTTCTAAGTAACGGCATCTTCCCAAAAGCCGCCTAATGGTTTGAATAATTTCTAATTTGTAATGGCTTCAGGATTTTCCTTCATTTTTGCGAACTTTCCTGTTTTGTAGCAGACAAGTAGTCTTGTACAAAATAATCTGTTTAAAATTTTGGGACAACAGCGCCATGGGTCAGGCAAACCTTTGGTTTAGTACAATGTGGTCCGCTTCGTTATGGTACTGTATTGCGAGATTTTCTTACCCAGTTTTACTAATGTTCTGGCCGTTCAATGGTTTTTATTTAAAGATATGTGTTGGAGAAAGATCTACTGAAATTCGAAGGAATTTATCCAAAGCCACAGCATCAGATACCTCTGGGTGAAGTTCGTGGTCACAAAGTTTATCCACGATCTACTGTGTATACTCTCCAAAGTGCAAATAATTGGATTAAAATGGCTAGAAGTGTTAAGGTATTTCATTCAAGAACAAGATTTCTTATGTTTACTTTGTCTTGACATACCAAACATTTGATTTAATAGGAAGGAGAAAAGCCTTACAAGGTGGTGAAAGCAAGACCAAAGTTAAACGTGCCTTCCGAACAACGCGAGCAACGATACTTGGATGTCTTCGGGTATTGGCAAACTGAACCATATCGTCCACCAAAAGTTACCAATGTACGTTAGTTTCGATGAATTTTGAAGTTATCGTATAAGACTTCTTTCTGTTTTGCATGTTTTAGTTAGCAATTAGTTGTTGGATGTAACCAGCAATGCTGACAAAATCGAAAAATTATGGTAACCATATGGTGCGCGGGTGGCGCAGTGGTCGCAGGCGACCTGCAATACACACGGGATCGATCCTTGCTCCCGAGGCTCACCAAGCTCTCCCTCTCCATCCCTCCGGGGTCGGCAAATTGGTACCAGACTTGTCTGGGAGGATAGTATCACTGGCTCGACACATCGGTGGACCACCGCGAGTTATTATAAAGGCCAGATATGCATTCAATCACTTGAAAGCGATGCTAAGTGAAATCGAATGCATGTCGCATAGGTCAAGGATTGATCAACGCCGAGAGTTTTTTAACCATGTGGTAATGCGAAAAAAGCATCAGTATATTTAGACGTGTTTCACTTGAAAAGGAGCGGTGTGTACGCTAAAATTTCTGTTTCTTTTATGATTCCATAACATGGTTTCCTACCCTTTCTTGTTAGTCGTACTATAAACGTGTCGCTCTAGGGACGCATACCATGTAATGAGTTTGGAAATGTATACATGTACCAGCCGTCTATGTGTCCAATAGGAGCAGTTCACCTGCGTCTTCCTGGACTTCCTTCCATAGCACGTCGTTTGGGAGGACTTCAGTGTGTTCCAGCTGTTGTTGGATGGGATTTCAACTCGTGCGCGAATTTTCCAATGTAATTATATATAGTTAACTTTTTATTTGCTGCCTATTACAATTTCACACGTTAGGGTGCTATGTGAAGTGCAACCATATTGATGCTGAGGTACCTGAAAATTTACAGAACGCAGATATCTGCGGTGGGGAACGAAAACGTAACTAGTCTTCCCTGGAACTAACGCGTTCACCACCACACCATGCGAGTACTTCATTTCGCCGGTCTCTCATCTATTTTCTATCTACCACAGTATTGATATCTACCAGGAATCGATATTTTCAAGGCACTGGTAGATAGGAAAGCTAGCTGAGAGATAGGTGAAACGAAGGTTCTGCATGGCGTGGTGGTGAACACGCTAGTTCCCGGAAGGGGTAGTTGCTTGCTCGTTCCCTACCGCCGACACCTGCGGTCCGGAATGTTGCAAATATCTCAGTATCAATACGACTATATGTAGTATTCTTGAATCGTGCGAATATTCGATGCTTTTTGTTTTTGCAGAATGGAAGGAGCTTGTGTGCTTGAGGAAGACGCTGAAAAATTCGTCAATGAGTGGAAAAGATTGGAATCATCGAGGAAAGAACGTGAAAACAAGGTGGAATGCCAATATCGGAACTTCTGGTCGATTTTTTCTTTGGAGGGCGGCTGTCCGGCTTATGGTTTTCGTATTTTTTTTTATACTCTCAGGGAAAAGAAAACGTTTCTATTTCTTCTTCCTTAGGCTGATGGCAATATTGATTTACAAAGAAAGTGCTCCTAAGAACATGTGGTTAACATTTAATGGAAGCATCAGTCAACGAAATATTTAAGCGAAGAGAGGAGCGTGTGCTTGGCAACTGGCGGAAGTTGATTCGTGGTATTTTTCGGCACCAGTACCTAAAGACGAGGTTCGGAACAGCTAAAGGAACGGTAAGCCACTTCTATAGATGTATTGGAACCTAGCAAGTCCTTTTTAATCTATACGAAATGATTAATATTAAGTAGTGAAGTCTTCCAGTTTTCCGAATTGATCTGTGCAGAAAACTTTTGATATCCAGGAAAACTGAATTGTTGGGTAAATCACTGCGAAAACTTGTGGTTGCCTTATTTTGAGAACAGTGTTCTGTGGAAAATCATGACGTATACGAAATTTATAGCATGTGGTTTAGGGAAAGGCGATGAAAAAGAGCAACGAAATTAAAGAGGAGAATGAGCAGAGCTCGTGTATCATTGATAGGACTGTGATGGCACCACGCCAGGTATTCACACATGATGACTTGATGAAGCTGTAATACTTGGGACCACGATGCTCATGGCCTGATTTGAAGCTCTCGCTTGCAGTTTGTTTTCTTCCTACACAGAACGCAGTCGTTCCACTCGAGATTGTATGGTTTAGCTTGTCCTTTTGTTTAAAAAAGAGGTGTAACTCTTAAGTTCAGATTCACAGATATTCATATAGTACACATAGTTCATGTATATACATATATATATATGCTTACATATGTGCATATATATATATGTATACATATATTCGTAGTAGTTAACCCAAATATGTGAAATCAAATTGCAGAATTTCACGGAATTAAAAGAGAGGAGAACCATGTCGGCAGAATTTTGCTAAGAGTGCTTGCGGTACGTGTGGAGTTTTTTGTGCGTTCTTTAGTGCTGTGTCCTGTATTTTTTGAAATCTGCAGAGGTATCAAAGTAGTTGAGTGTTATGAAGTTTCTATTTGGGTGAATTGTAGAAGTCTACGAAAAGGTGGTAGCAGTAGACTACTACTGGTCTAAGGTGCTCTCAGGTTATTTTGAGCAGTAACAAGTTTAGCTAATTTTCATGAGTTGTGTGGTATATATACAAAAAACAGTAAATTCAAGTATAACAAATTGTTACAAAGACATAAATCCTTTGTAGAGAACGTATATGATGCCTTGTTCTAACTATGCCAAGTTTCTATGTTAAGGTCAACCCAGTTGCTTTGTGCTTAAACGTTCGTAGTCTCGCTGTACGTTGTAGCTGTTCATAATCTATGTAGATCTATTTCTAATGTTCTTTTGGTTGTACTCACTTTAAAAACAGCAGTTTTCCATATATAACCATTCGCTTTAATTCCCAGTGAACCGAGGAACACATTCGCGACGAAGTTGCTGTTTTGACAATAGACGATAGCTCTCCATTAATGGAGAGTGGATGAGATGAGAATATTACAGATTAGTAAAGCCATTTTTCGTTCTCGCTTTTGGGGTTTGGACAATTTTTAAAAGCATTGTGTGACTTCATATAAGGTCACATTGTCGCGAATGTGTGAGTGCTCCTGGATCAACAGCTCTCTAAAAGTACGACAGGGGCATATTGTTGGTTCATTTTATATCCTACTTCAGAAGATGGTATGTTATCTAACAAGAATCTACTCTCATTCTAAATCTTTACAGTTGAGATTTATTTTAGGTGCTTCTAGAATGTATAGGAACTAACTGTGCTTTTCATTCGCTTTTTCTCCTCCATCTTTCTTTTAACAAAAAGTAGCATTTTGCAACAACCATTCCAACTCTATGAATATGTTTGATCCACCCAGAAATATAGTTTACCTCGACTGATTAGCATATTGTTTACGTTTCTTTTTATTTTGTTCATTTCATATTTCAGCATGTGCTAGAAGTTTGAATGAAAGTTGTGAAGAAAAATGTATTTGTTGTTCCATGTTAGCCGTTAGTACCTTGCCTACTTCTGCAACTTCATATATCGGGAATAAGAGTTCATCTGCAGAATGAACTTATCCATTTGTCTTGTTGTGGTGAGGTAAGTAATAAGCGACATCCCTAGATTAACATTGTACTTTCTGAGATTTTTAGCTGAGGACCTAGTTTAAGAGTGATGTCATTGTACATGATAGTACATAGCTAAATAGGAGATTTATCTGTCAGTTCTGATTTTTATTTCATTTCAAGTTTGACAGCAACAATGAAGGTTTTTGACCACTACCTGAAGTAATAGGTAGTTCCTCCCAACGGTTTACCGCCTTGTCGCGGCTGGGCGGTGTTCCTGTGTCTTGGGCTGTGCTGTACAGCGGCGAGATTCATCCCTTTAGCAGGGCCTCCCAAGCTGAGAAGAAGTTTAGCGTTTTCACCAAGAAATCCATTTAAGAGTAAACCAATACCAGGATCCACCACCACCGTTACGGTATCAAATTAGTCGCATGGTGGCAAATCTCTGTTCCTCAAGGGCGGCGACTGCCTATGGTGGCCTCGACCTGGGGCAGACTTTGGCCTGGCTGATTGGGACTCAAGGGAATCACAGTGGCTAAACCGGCAAATCTCTGAAGAGTGGAACTTATGTTGGGGCGCCCACAACCAGTAAAGACGGGTCGTCCAAGAAGAAGAGAGAGGGTTTACTGCAGACGTTATACATTAGCTATACTAAATTCATCAATTTAAGTTGGCAATCATAGACATTTTCATACGTTTTCGTCGAAATATGTAATAATGTTGGCGAAATAGTTTGTGTACAATCATTTGTTTAGAAGGAGTGAGGTTTTCATCCTCATTTCAATGTCTTCTAACCCACGCTGGTGGCCCTATCGTATTTCTGTAGAAGACGCTTTCAAGAGGGGCGCAGTTGCTGTACTAGGACTAGTCGTTGGGGCAAATGTGGTGTCATATTATTGGAAACCACTCAAGGTAAATGTTCTGTTTAGCCCTTCATGAGTGTGTGAGCCGCATAGAACTCGTGCCTGGGGGCGCAGAAGAATTATATATGGGTCACTTTTTTTCCGGCATTTGTGTGGACAAGATTTTCAGTCCAACTTTATGCACTATATCCATAGCTTACCTATAGCAAATCTTCCTACTATAACTCGAGGAAAGCTACGTTGCTGGTAAGGATAAGGATAAAGGAAAAAGCTCTCGGCGTTGATCAACACCTGAGGGATGCGTCATGCGTTCGACTTCATTATGCATCGTTTGGAGGTGATTGAATGCATATCTAACCTTTACAATGACTCGCGGTGACCTACTGATGTATCGATCCAGTGCTGCTATCTTCCTAGACAAGTCTGGTGTAAATTTTCCGACCTCGGAGGGTAAGAGGGATTGGTGGGCCATGGGTGCGGGGATCGGTTCCACGGGTGTGTTACACGGTGTCTCCGATCACTGCGCCGCACGCGCCCTTCTGGTGAGGAAGGTTGTATAAATTTGCTTCTACCGTGTCTCCTGGACGAAACAGTGAGTCGATATTACTCATGATTTGAACTTCTATCATTTGTAAGAAAGAGTGTGAAAATTTTTATGTTTATCAACTTCTGATTTGTTTGATACATATTGCGAACATGGGTTGCAGTGGTCGGAGGTGCGCTGCAATATCCATGGGATCGATTTCTGCGCTCATCAAGCCCTCCGTCTCTCCGGGGTTGGCAAATTGGTACCAGGCTTGTCTGGGCCTCCCATAGCGACGCTAGCTGTATACATCCGAAAGCCACCGGGAGTCATTGTAAAGGCCAGATATGCATCCAGTCACCTGCAAACGATGCTTAATGAAGTCTAATGAATGGATTATCCCTCAGGGATTAATCAACGCTGAAAGCTTTTTCTTTTATCCATTATCTGACGAACATGTTAGTTATCTAAAGGTTTAAAGAACGTTGATGGTGAACGGTGGTGTCAAGACTGTTTTACTATTAAGGTGAGTGTGTTAAAGACGGGATGGTACTTTGAATGTTCCTTCGGTAGTTTATTGTTAGTAACCTGACTGAGATATTGAAATGAAGTATTATTTTTTCATGTATCTTTTTAGGAATACGAAGAACAACTTAATCAAGGCAAAATTGATCTGCTTCGAAAATATAAGGCGATTCATGATGAACGAAATGCAAAAGCTGGTTCCGAGAAGTAACAATAGTTCATTCATAGCAAATAATGAAGAGGTCAGGTACACTAACCTATAAATTAGGCTGAACTGCCGGAAATGTTAGGGTTGGAAAGTATGGTCGTAGATTCTAAATTTAGAACAATTTACTAAATTTAATGATACCTCGTTAATTATTCGTTTAAGGAAAGCGATCATTATGGAAATGATGGTGGATTTCAATCGTCCTTATTCAAAAAAATATTTAAGTATTACAAGCGACGAGCCCCGCCTCCAGATTTAAGCAGCGTCGTCGGTACTTTTTTCAGGACTTTTTTTAGCGTAAATACCCGAATGTTGACAAATAAACATTATTGCTTTATTGATGACCGTGTTTGTTTTATAGATCCTTCTTCAAATAGCGACTGCATAACTCTCTGCAGTCAACAGTTAGTGTCATCCTGCGTCGGGTCAGTTGAACTGGAGGAGCTGGGTTTGAAGCCACTTGCAGAATGGAGATTGATAACCATAAAGGGAAAACCAGGATTTTATATACTTCCCAATTTACTGAGGTTATTTGGCTTTCTGCTTATGTTAAATTATTATTACTACCCAGAAAACGTTATGAAGTTACGAAAGGAGAACAAAGATTGACATATTCGCAGCAATATACTTCGACAGTGGAACAGATTTGGGGATTTGTATTGCTTTCTGTGTTCACTTTTTTTTTTCCAATTCCCCCTTTTCTAATTAATCGAGAGATATCTCAGCGCTTGTAGTGTGCATTTGCCTGGGAGAAGTTATTCTCCACATAGACAAAAAAGAATAAAGCTCTCGGCGCCGGTCAATTCCTAAGGGATTCGCCATGCATTCGACTTCAATAAGCATCGTTGAAGGTAATTGAATGCATATCTGGCCTTTACAATGACTCGCGGTGGCTTAGCGATGTATCGAGTCAGTGCTGCTATCCTCCCAGACATGTCTGCTACCAATTTGCCGACCTCGTAGGTGATATAAAGACCCTAATGGAAGCTTGATGAGCCTGTGGCGCGGAGATCAACCCCTTGTGTATTGCACGGCGCCTCCAAGCACTGCGCTATATGGACCTCTCATAGGGTTCTCCACATAGGGAATTTTGTCAATTCAAGGGAAAAGTTTAAGGTATTTGTATCACTGTCGACGTTTTTGGAACGGAATCAAAGATCGATGTTTAAGGGATGACGCCGTCGAGATGTGGCTTCGTCGTGTGTTTCTGTACGCTGAACCTCCCAGCGTCACGAATCTCACCGCTCATGGGTTTAGTCCGCAAAGGTATGTTGGATTTATTTCCCAAACACATCATCATGTCGAGGCAAAACTCCGGACCGTAGGTGTATGCTGTGGGGAACGAACGCGCTATTGTCCTTTCCGGGGAGTAGCGCACTTTACCACCGCACCATCCGGACCGTTCGTTTTGCCCGTCAGCTGGAGTTTTGCAAATATCTCAGCATTATATACGAGTTATATTCCGCAACATATCCTGCCATTAAAAAGAAAAAGGCAGTAAATAAAAGGGTTAAGATTGTGATTATAACCAAGCCTCAGCTTAACTGGGTTCAATGCCGATTTGGGGTCCCCAGATCAATCCCGTTAACGGGTGATTGCTGATGGCAAAAGATCAATAGAACTAGCTGAGAGACAGGCAAAACGAAGGACCCAGGTGGTGTGGTGGTGAGCGCACTACTTCCTGGAAAGGACAATAGCGCGTTCGTTCCCCACCGCAGACACCTGCGGTCCGGAGTTTTGCTATAATCTCAGCATTATATACGAGTTATATTCCGCAACATATCCTGCCGTTAAAAAGAAAAAGGCATTAAATAAAAGGGTTAAAATTATTTGCTCGTTTTCTCATGCTGTCGATACGTATAAATCAAATGCTAACGATTTTCACGAATTTCATGTGTGAATTTTACTATGTGCTGTTTCTTTAAGGAATTGTTGGGTGTTGTCTAATGTATAATAGAACGCTAATTCTCATCTTTATTCATTTTCATGCGACCACAATAAGCAATCGAATGCACTGATGGTTGCTATTCTTGTTTTTCTTTCTATAACTCTTTCGGTTGAAGGTCTATAAATCAACTGTTTTAGCCAATACACAGTACAGGGTAGTCATCCAAACGTAATGCCTTGTAGTACTTATTGTCTCTACCTTTATTTCTCCGTGCCCATAGGTTCCTCCGAACGATTTACCGCCTCATTGTGGCTGGGAGGTGTTCCTGGGTGTCGGGTTGCGATGCACAGCAGGGGGATTCATCTCCAGGCAAGGTCGTCCAAGTTGAGAAGGGGTCCGGCATTCCCTCCAGAAAGCCCAGCTAAGAGCAAACCAATACCGGGATTCACCACCGTCTTGTTATCGAACTAGGCAGGCCTTGGCCAGGCTGTTTTCGAGACTCCAGGGAACCACAATGGCTAACCTAGCAAATAGAGCCCGCACAACCAGTGAGGCGGGGCCGTCCAACCATCCAAGTAAGTAAGTGAGATACCCAGGTTGCAGTGAAGCTAGGTGTTCTGGTTTTGTGTGCTCGCGTCGCTTAGTTTGAAAGGTCTGTCGGACTTTGGTGTAAAACACTACGCATAGAAATTTCTAATACTCACAAGCTACCGTACCATTCTACTTCTTTATGTTCGCTTTACTATTATTTGCGCCCATATTTGACCTAAATATTTCGTTTTCCATAAAACTCGATTATAATGAGGGTCTAATCAAGTACCTTCTCAGGCATTTTAGATATTGGGTTCTCGAAGGTTTTGGTGGTTACTCCAATTCTGTTAGAAAAATGTCCAGCGTTATAGGTGGTACCAATGAAATGAGCAATTTGCAGTCCGTGGTATTTCAGATGTTTGACTGAGCTGTGCCTGGTTCCATTTTTCACCTTAATGTTCTGCCTTTTTCCCTCAGGATGAAGAACGTTTCTGGGTACCTAGAATAATTTATCAGCCACATGTTATCCTTCTTTGTATGTCTCGAAGCTGTATTTGTGCACAAAGTAAAGAGAACTTTACTTGGTACGGATCGTTCTTTTTTCTTTCGCTGTATTGTCGAGACTCATCACTTGAATGGGTTGAAAAGGCGGATTTGGTCAAGCAGGGCACAATGATGTTTGCGAGTGCACTATGGATGTTGGCAGCAGCTTAGCTCATAAAACGTAGAAGAGGATTTGTTATGTTAATGTTTCTTAAGCTTTGGTTTAGAGATTTCTGGAATAAAAACGATGTTTTATAAAGAATATATATTTAGCCACCCACATACATTGATGCGGGGCGAAGTGTCTTTTTTAAATCTGTCAAGTCTTCCCTTCAGTTATTCCAGTTATCGGAAACTTATCGGGAACTATTTTCCAAATATGTACTGTCGCCGCAAACTTGTTAAGCAACACATCTGCATGCTATGAGAGATATTTTCTCTGAATTCAAGTATATCATCTTTCTATTTTTTTGAGGTTGAGGGCTGATAAACCTAAAGGAGCTTATCGCTTTTACGGTATACTTAACCTTTATAAAAAGGCATTTTATTTTTAGTTTGTTCAAATTTACAGCCTTCTAGAGAGTTGAAAACAAAGTCCGAATCAGCAACCCATTTCACCTTGTATGGACCCTATATTTTGTAAACCCTATATTTCCTGTAGCAATCCGGACCAAACGACCATGTCGATAGCGTACTGTCCATTTTGAGCTTAATGGGTTCCAGAGTTTGTTTATCTGAATATGTCCACTTTTTCGATAGGATAGATAGAATCTATACCTATAAAACGATGGAACAAAGTCTGTTCTACAGTTTTGTAATATTCAAACACCTCAAATTCTCTACATTTTGAAAAGAGGTTTTTTATTTTCAAAAAAATTAGGAAGCCTGCAGCCGATGAAAAATTGCACGTAATCTGTTATGCCAACCTCGAAACACGGTAGTCGGGGCGGAACGGGCTAACGGAATGGGTCAAGTTTTTTCTATCTGTAAACAAATAGCAGCACTACATCAGGGGAAATCGTCATGTCATATTAAACGAAATTGCGCTTCATTAGTCGGTTCCCTGCTTGAATTAACCTCGATAAGAAGTGCAAAATTTGCTATTAGCTACGACGTGATTCTCGGCTCAGCCTCAGCTTAACTGGGTTCAGTGCCGATTTGTGCTCTTTAGATCAATTCCGCTAACGGGTGATTGCTAATAGCAGCGTTAGGTAGAAAATCAGCTGAGCGAAACGCAGTACAAGGGCCTCTGCTGCGCAGTATGTAATGCGCGAGCCCTGGAAAGTGAAATCCTGGTTCAATTTGGCTCGAGGTCCAAGTTTTGCGAATATCTCAGCATCGTTGTGGACATGACGTGGTTGCATTCCTACTGTGTTGTGTTTTGATCACTGCCAATGAGTGGAGTTTTCTTTTCAGGCTTGTAAAATTGGCTCTCATAACTTTCCTAAAGCGCTTTCCCTGGTTTTTCTTGTCCTTCAAACGCACTTTCCGCCTTTTTTGTTTTTGTTAATGTTCATATTCCGGACGCGAAAGCAGTTGGATAAGCAGGACTTCGTCCAGTAGAATGCGATGGTGTTCCCTAATGCAGTTTGTGTTTGCGAATGTTACCCCTCCTTTGGAAAGTTTGAAAATTTAATTCTTTCTTTGAATATTTGGTAAATTTGAATTCCAAACAGATTTCAGATTTTGAGAATATTCCCTGAAAATGGGAGCAGTTGTCGGAGGCGCCCTGCAACACACACATTGGATCGATGCCCACGCCCGTGGCTCACCAAGCCTTCCATCCTTCCGGGGTCGGGAAATTGGTACCAGACTTGTCTGGGAGGATAGCAGCACTGGCTGGATACATCGATAGGCCACCAAAAGTCATTTTAAAGGCCAGATATGCATTCAATCACCTCCAAACGATCATTAATGAAGTCAAGTGCATGGCGAATCTTTCAGAGATTGATCAAAGCCGGGAGCGTTATCCTTTATATTTTTTTATCGCTGTGTAATAAAATCTGTTGTATGAGTTTAAGTGCATAATTTGTCGGGGCTTTAACTTTTCTAGTTATCGAAAACTATTCTCTATTTCGAAAAACCAGCCATTTCATGCATGAATGGCTTAAATGCCGCTTTTTAAAAATGTGTTCTGTTGTTTTTGTTAATAACATTATTGCTTCGTTCACGCTCACAGTTACCGGCTTTAACATATGCGGGTCCATTGTCATGGTAGAGGCACTAGTATCACATCATACTTTTTAAAAGCCTATGATTGCCTTCAATGTTTAGCATACCCATCCGAGACAGTGTTATTACATTAAAAGTATTTGTTTAAGAAAACCAGTCAGATGAAGCGCTTGTTGCAGGGATAGTGTGAACTACTTTCTTACTTGGAGATGTTTTGATTATAGAAATTTATATTTCAGAAATGTACTGAAGGAAGCTGGGAAGTCACTGAGATGGACCACATTAGGTGTGGCATACAACTGGGAAACAAAGCAGTACCCACAAACTGGTGATCAGCTTCCGGTGGAGCTGGTTCATTTTGCTAAGGTTAACGCTTTTTGCTTACATTTAGTAATTATACTCAAAGAATTCAATCAGACAGGGATGTGTTCTGCAGGTCATCACGCAAGTTCTTGGTCTAGGCGTTATGAATGCAGATGCAGCGATTGTAAACTATTATCCTCCTAAATCAACACTTTCCCCACATGTTGATAGGTACGCATTATTGTAATAGAAGGTAATGAAGTCAAGGGAAATTGGCTCTTGGGAGGAACTGTATTCTCTTCTGATGAACAAGATTTTCATTTGAGAACTTTCTAAGGAAACCATGTTATTTCGAGTTTTTGAGTCGAGAAGGACAGGTATTGTTTAGTTTTAGCAAGTCAGATTTGCATTGAAAGGATTACTCTTTGAGACTGACTTCTATATTTATTTCATTTTTTTTCAAAAGTGGTGCTGCTGTGATGAGTGCCTAATAAATATTTTACTAGGTCAGTGCGAATGAAAATTCGAATTTTGCTGAAATAATTCTCTGGCAACATAGGAAGCTTGTTGTTCTATTCTTTCCTTTACACATTTCTTGAAAGCTTTTATCTTTATTTTTGATTTGTCTGCTTGAAAGGTGCTATATTTTTGCATGACAGCGCTTCACCTATTATCTTATTCACTGACGTTGGGTTATCTCCTTTAGATTGTCATATAATTAGATACTCGGAAATCTTTAGCAATTGGTAAAACTGAAATTTCATTCTTACTATCCTAATAATACTGATGTCTCATGAAGCACCACCAATGCAGTTTTCCTGTTGAGGTCAGAACGTACAAATGCGCCATTGGTGTCGCTGTCTCTCGGCCAATCCGCAGTGTATCTGAGCGGTGGTAAATCACTGGACGACGATGTGGTTCCGCTGTGGCTACGTTCTGGAGATGTTATAGTAATGCATGGCGCACAGAGATTCGTCTACCATGCCGTTGCCGCCATCGTCAGTGATCGTCTCTTCGCCATAGAAGATCCGCTTTTAGAACAATTTGCTAATTCCAGTAGAGTTAATATCACCATAAGACAGGTGAACAACGTCCAATAGTAGTTTTCTCGTGGTAGATCTAAAAGAAGTTCTCTGTTACTAATTATTGGGTTCTTATTTAGCAAGGATTATGTGGTGTTTTTTGTTTCTTTTTAAAAGGACTACTCTGCCTTTTGAATTTTTTCATTGTATAAGTCTTTAAAATACGTTGTTCTCTAGGAAGTGCCTCAACAAATATGGTATGGAGTAAAGTTATGGGTGGCCATAATTACCTAGTTGTGTGAAAAATATAGTTTTGTCGCAGTATAGAGCGAACAACATGGGCTTCCAATGTATATTCTTTCATTTAACGACATAGAACACAACAATTCGATTCCAATGATTGTATACCTTGCGTCGAGTTACGGAGACTGTTCTCTACTCTGTAGAGAATAGTCAGTATTTTATTAACATTATTACCATTATTTATCATTAATCTCGTATATGTACTTGTTGGGTACAAGGCCAGCGTGCGGAGTCGATAAATCGAGCAATAAATTCCTGTAGATAGAAAAGATTAAGCACACGAGTTGTATTGTATCTCTTAGTTCATATTATCCAACTGTTTTTTCATGTCAGCTTTGTATGTTTACTCTTTACTCATTGCTCTTGCAATTCTTGTTTGCTTTAATATTCTTTCTTCTAAAGCCAGCAGAATTCCAACCCAAGCCTCGTAATAAATCTGCGTGGCAGACCGAAAGAATAAAAGCAACTACCGCACGATTTAAGCAAGGCACTAGTGGATTGGTATCTATAAAGTACACAGGCTATTTTTTGAATCGAATCAGGAGAACCTCTGCAACTGTTCCTGAAGCACCCCAGCGTTCTGCGCGCCGACAGAAGTCTGGTGGAAGGCCGTGCTACCAAAATGACTATGTTCGCTGAGGCACAATCTTCTTCCAAATGTCTTCCAGATAGCCTCGGTTTCCAATCAAGGCTCTACTAAAGGAGAAGTGATTCTTTCCAAGTCGTAACTGAAGCCGTCATTCGCTTCTGTTGACGGATCTGCCATAATTGCTTGCAAACGTGGTTACTTTGCTGTAAATCTGGTTCATTTGGGAAGAGAAAGACTGTTAACTGAAAGTTTCGTATTGGAAAATACTACACTCTGTAATGTTTAACGTTTTGTTTTCTGCCTTCTATAATTTTCATGGCAGCTTATTAAGCGAAATACAACCACAACGTTGCTGAGATATTTGCAAAACTCTGGACCGCAGGTGTCTATGGTGGGGAACGAACGCGCTATTATCCTTTCCGGGGAGTAACGCGTTCACCACCACACCATGCGGGTCCTTTGTTTCGCACG